ATATATATATATACCCATGTCCCTCTTTCAATTGTGGTTTCATAATCAGTATTATGACATCCACCTACTGTATCTACAAACTAGGAGCTAGAACAAGAACAATGTAGGGTTCAGCTTTTGGTCTGTTTCAGGTCCACATACCACTTTGATTCCATATATTGCCATATCTTTCCTACCAGGGGACATAACTTCTCTGCAATGGTGCACTTGTGCAATCACTGGAGATCATAAACTGCTGGGAAAAGACAGCCCCTATATATTTTTATATATACACCCATGCCCATCTTCACTTGTGGCACTAGGCAGCCAACTAAGAAAAAGGAGAACACACATCTAAAATGATTCATAATGCTTTGCTTGTTCAGGGGTTTCAGGGCCAAATCTTAAAGCTGAACTCCAGGAATATAAAAAAAAAACTACCATTGCACTGCAAGGGTTAAAAGCGGTTCTACTTACCTTATGCCTTGATCACCCCATCAGCCACCTCTCATCTCCAACACTCTGGGTTTCTGGGCAGGCCCTCAAAATCCTCACCTGCAATGCAGGACCACCATAGCTGCACCTGTCGCCTAAACAGAAGAGGCTATGGGGAACCGGTCACATGGAAGGAGGGGGAGCCTGGGGGAGCAAGGGATAAGGAAAGTACATTCCTGTTACCCTAGACAAAATTGAGTATTTAACTCTTGTACTGTGGGGTAAGCCCCACTGCAAGGGCAGGAACTGCATGTGTACTGAACATATATGGCTGCCCCCATGTACCTATATAACTACAAACTATACAAAAGGGTATTTAAAAAACAAACACCCATTAGAAAGATCATTAGCACTAAACATATCGCAGTCACTAAATGTCTATTAAAAAAAAACCCTGTAAAAAGGCTACAGTTCCCCTTTAAGTTGATTTCATTATGGCAGAAGCATCGCCCAGGCCCTCAAGCCATTTAAAAGTGTACATGCGTGTCTTGAAACAACTTCGTCTAATTTGAAAAAGCTGCTGCCTTGCCCATATCTATTCCAATTTAAATAGCTTTGGAGAAAGCTAACTCCAGCAGGTTTGTGAATTATATCTCCTCCTTGACAATTTATGCAGGTGCCGGGCGCCGCATGTTAATTAATGTGTGCCTGGCACAAACCTCAGCTAATTATTATACACAAAATAGAATAAGCTTGTTGTGGTTTGTGCAGGCCTCTTGAAGGGTGGCCATTTGCTACCTTCCTCCCCAGAAAACCATAGATGTATCCTGTGTGCTCACATATTTTTAAGGCAGCCAAGTACTTTATTTTAAAGTGCCCTTTCTTTTAATTTCTTTATCTGATACAGCATGTACATTTTTTCTAGTATTCCGCTGTAGGAATTAAAGACAACATGAAAAAAGAATGCTGAGGGCTGCACTGGTGCCTTGCAGTTATTCCATTAAGGTGGCATAGTCCACCCATAACAAATTTTGGGAAGAGCAGGAGGACAAGGACAGAAAGTATGTGGTCACCCATTCACATTTTTGAGTTCAGGTGTCCCCAGTGAAGGTTACAGTTAATGCATACAAAGACATGTTTCACAATTGTGCTCTTCCTATCTGGTGGAACATTTAGGGGAAGGGCCCTTTCTGTTCCAGCAGGTGCACATTTAGGGGCACATTGCCAGTTCCATCAAGGCATGTTTGATGACTTCGGTGTTAAGGAACTAAAGTGGCCTGCACAAAAACCTGCACTGACCTTTTCTGTTCCAGCAGGTGCACATTGCCAGTTCCATCAAGGCATGGTTTGATGACTTCGGTGTTGAGGACCTCAAGTGGCCTGCACAAAAACCTGCACTGACCTTTTCTGTTTCAGCAGGCGCACAAAGCCAGTTCCATCAAGGCATGGTTTGATGACTTCGGTGTTGAGGAACTCAAGTGGCTTGCACAAAGACCTGCACTGACCTCAACTTTGCTGAACACCTATGGGATGGATTGGGAAGCCGATTGTGAGCCAGCTCTTCTCAGACAACATCAGTACCTGACCTCACAAATGTTCTTTTGGCTGAATGGCCACAAATTTCCACAGACACATTACAAAATATCGTGGAAAGCTTTCCCAGAAGAGTGGAGGCTGTTATAGGTACAGAGAGGAGTCAACGACATATTGATGTCCATGGTTTTGGCATGGGATGTCCAACAAGCTCATACAGGTGTGCTGGTCAGCAGTGATGAACTTAGGTTTAAACGTCCAAACCCAGAAGGAAGCTCCTTGTGTTCTCGCTCAATCAGTTCTAGCTGGGAATTTCCCTGCCCATACCTCATCATTATTAATTGTATAGGATGCTGTGATGTGATTGACCTTATGTCCATTCCAGGTCTCTTTTATGTTTGCCAAAGATCAGGTTCGGCCCAAACCTGAGCTCATCCCTACTGGTCAGGTGTCCACATACATTAGGCCATATAGTATATATGCATTGAAGCAGCCATATACACTTATTGCATATGCAGGCTCTACACACTGGCAACCAGTATGATAATGTAGCAACCCTTATCCATAAAATGCCTTAACTAGAAATCAGCCCTTAGCTACTTGGAAGGTCTCTGTGCATGTTAGTACAGACAATGCTTCACCTCACCATCAGGAAACAGTTTCATACAGACAACTCAACATTATGTAAAATGTCAAAAACATTTGTAATCCTGGCGGGAGTTCTCCTTTAAATATAAATCACATTATCAGCAGCACACAAGCTACGTGATCTGTTTATGCACTTGATCAGAATACACAGCCAAACAAAAACTAATAACTCCTGCAGCCATCTCCAGCAGGAAAGAATTATTTATGATTAAGTACGGGAATGATGTATGCCCTCACGGGTGATAAGGTAGGCTGGAATAAGAACCTGCAATTACATTTTATCAGTGTACATATAAAAGAAAATTAGGAACATTTATCTTTCATTCGTGTTTTCCTTTTCTCGCCACTTCTGCAGCCTGATTTACACTTCGTGGCACTTTGGGTTTTTAGAAAACGATCAAGAAGGAAAAATAATTGTATAAATGGCACAAAGGTGGCCTATCCGGGTCGGTAAAGTGATAAGGATGCCAACGCAGTAAATGGAAAAGTAAAAGAAAAAGACACAGTATGTATCGGTCTCATACAATGTGATGGGTGAAGTCACGTCAAAGTAAGGTATAGAATGTACAGAGGAGGTATAGTAGGCTTTATCAACCAGGGTTCCTTGGAACCCCCTTGGGTTCCCCCAGAGGCTTCTAGGGGCTCCTGGAGCAATAAGCAATTTCTGACTCTCAGATAAGTAACCATTGACACCAATTATCTTTTTTAGCGATCTGTAAATGGGGGATTCTACCCACTGATCAGCAATGGGCCCCTTTCTCACTCTTTTTCCCACTGACCACCAGTGTAATAGTGCCCCTCTTTCACTTACTCTGCCACTGACCATCAGTGTAATAGAGCCCCTCTCTTACTTACTCTCCCACTGACCGCCAGTGTAATAGGGCCCCTCTCTCACTTACTCTGCCACTGACCACCAGTGCAATAGAGCCCCTCTCTCACTTATGCTCCCACTGACCACCAGTTATATAGGGCCCCTTTCTCACTTATGCTCCCACTGACCACCAGTTATATAGGGCCCCTTTCTCACTTATGCTCCCACTGACCACCAGTTATATAGGGCCCCTTTCTCACTTATGCTCCCACTGACCACCAGTTATATAGGGCCCCTTTCTCACTTATGCTCCCACTGACCACCAGTTATATAGGGCCCCTTTCTCACTTATGCTCCCACTGACCACCAGTTATATAGGGCCCCTTTCTCACTTATGCTCCCACTGACCACCAGTTATATAGGGCCCCTTTCTCACTTATGCTCCCACTGACCACCAGTTATATAGGGCCCCTTTCTCACTTATGCTCCCACTGACCACCAGTTATATAGGGCCCCTTTCTCACTTATGCTCCCACTGACCACCAGTTATATAGGGCCCCTTTCTCACTTATGCTCCCACTGACCACCAGTTATATAGGGCCCCTTTCTCACTTATGCTCCCACTGACCACCAGTTATATAGGGCCCCTTTCTCACTTATGCTCCCACTGACCACCAGTTATATAGGGCCCCTTTCTCACTTATGCTCCCACTGACCACCAGTTATATAGGGCCCCTTTCTCACTTATGCTCCCACTGACCACCAGTTATATAGGGCCCCTTTCTCACTTATGCTCCCACTGACCACCAGTTATATAGGGCCCCTTTCTCACTTATGCTCCCACTGACCACCAGTTATATAGGGCCCCTTTCTCACTTATGCTCCCACTGACCACCAGTTATATAGGGCCCCTTTCTCACTTATGCTCCCACTGACCACCAGTTATATAGGGCCCCTTTCTCACTTATGCTCCCACTGACCACCAGTTATATAGGGCCCCTTTCTCACTTATGCTCCCACTGACCACCAGTTATATAGGGCCCCTTTCTCACTTATGCTCCCACTGACCACCAGTTATATAGGGCCCCTTTCTCACTTATGCTCCCACTGACCACCAGTTATATAGGGCCCCTTTCTCACTTATGCTCCCACTGACCACCAGTTATATAGGGCCCCTTTCTCACTTATGCTCCCACTGACCACCAGTTATATAGGGCCCCTTTCTCACTTATGCTCCCACTGGCCACCAGCATAATAGTGCCCCTCTCTCAATCACTGTGTCACTGATCACCGATGTAAAAGAGTCTATCTCTTATTCACTCTCCCACTGACCACCAGTGTAATTGGGCCCCTTTCTCGCTCACTGTCCCACAGATCACCAGTGTAATAGGGCCCCTTTCTCGCTCACTGTCCCACAGATCACCAGTGTAATAAGGCCCCTGTCTCACTCACTGTTCCCAAAATATTAGAGAGCATTACTTTTTTTTGGCCAGGCAGTGTATAACAAGAAAATTATCACATGAACTTTATTTGTCTCTTATAATTAGAAACGTAGATGAACTAAAATTATATATAATAAAATTGCAAATTATAAAACTGTATAAAAAAGTGTAAAAAAAAAGAAAATTGCATTAAAAACACAATGAGCAAAAAAAGAAATGCACAGCAGAAAGAAGTGAGAGATTAAACAAAACTTACATTCACTCAGATCCTTAATATAATTAATTAATTAATTTAAAAATAATTAAAAAATAATAGATACAAATTGAAATGTAAAAATTAAAACCTAAAAATGAAATAATAAAATGAAGTAATTTCTGCTGTTCAGCAGTTTGCCTCCAGCATTGATCTTGCCTTACGATGTGACATAGGGGCACCCAACCCATTAATAGTCATTTTTGAATTTAAGGTTAGTCACAGGAAATGTACTGTAGCTCTGCCAGGAGGCAATGGTAGATGCAATCTCAAGCCGGGTATCATACGGTAAATAAATATGGTTCCTTTGCATCATCGGAATCATACACATGTCAGGAAATGATATAAGATCTCTCCGACGCTCAATGCAAATCCTCATTGACTGGCACATGATTAAAATTCTGCGCGTGCCATTGTGACCTCAAAACAAGCAGATTATCATTCATGCTCCACTAACTTAATATCTCTCTAACCAAATATTCTATTAGCTATCTATTTCATTATTCACATCAGCAGAACATTACATACAGCGATACAGACATCTCTTTGGAGGGCTATGTCTCGGATAATGATGGTTTTCTCTACAAGATTACTATATTGCCACATTTATTAAGCCGTTTTTCTCGTAGAATCTCCCCCTTTGGAGGCAACATGCCTGACCATATAATCATATGGACAATATGCTCTGACATGTGTCTAGATGAGAATGCGGTGTCCAAATGGCACCCTGAATAACAGCGGTAAATATTTTCAGAGGTTAGCTTCAAAGTTTCCCTTCTTTGTAATGCAGGCGGAGGGAGGTAAGCCATATGGGTGCATTGAGGTGCCAGATTTTAATTTGTGGATTTAAAAATCTGTGGTGGTGATTAGACTGCTTTCTAAACACCCCGACTTCAGCGCTGTAATACAGCGCTTCTTCAAGGTTTGACCAAGGTCACTGGAGCCTGACTGCTTAGCCCAAGGTCCTAGGACCACAACTCCAGAAATAGCACATCCCAGGGGGCTTTGAACAGTTTCTGGATGCTCACCTTTTTATATAGTAACAGGGTTCATCTGTGCTCCTCTGTGAAGCAGCTGCACATGTGCAGATAGAAGGGAGCTGCGGGAGAGCAGAGAGAGATCCTCAGCTACTTAAATGATGAAAGATACTGGAAGCCAAGCATAGCAAACTGTGTTTTTAATAGAAACATCTTTTCACCATGGATTGTTATATCGTCCTTAAAGGTAAAGTGTATCCAAAGCAATTTTTGAAAGTGTGGTGGAGGTTAGAACCTCCAGCAGGTTATTATTGTAAATGCATACAACTAAAACCTCTTTTTTATTAGCACAAAGGGGCCTATTTATATAACATTTGCAGAATGGATAGTAGCTCTGTGAATGTCTGTACTTTAGATCTGCACCAGTTTATGGCCATTAGATGGAGCCGAGGAGCATAAGAATTTCCTATGCTGCCGATTTTCTATTTGTTTGGCTTGTGGGGCATTGGACGAGCCCATGCCTGGCTGTTGCACCCAGCCTCTTTAGGATTGCCCACGTCACTGAAGACTTCATCTAGTTCTCCAGAAGTCAGTTATCCTCTAAGAACAGCAATAACC